CGTGTGACCCTGTCCAACCGTCACAACAGTGGTTAAAATACTGTCCGGGGCAAACAAGAATCCTTATCCAATGGGGTGATTTCCAGTGCAATAAGAGATCGGCACTTGGCTGTACAGCCAATGCCTCTGATCCAAGTATGTTCCTGCGCAGTCAATAACAAGGCAGCCAGATACAATAAAAGAAACACGCTCAGTCCAACTAACTGTAGCTTCGGGCAATTTGGGTCTAATCCCACCAGTTCAAACAACAATCCTTAATAACTGGTACAGCAGAAAGGCAACACCTTTCTGGATTTCCGTATTACCTGATCCCTAGTTCAGGGGCTCGTAGTAGTTGTTGGACTTCCAGGTCAGCTTCCGGAACGGCTGCTGCTGGTACTGCTGCGGGTATGGCTGACGGTACTGCGGGTACTTGGGGAAAAGCTGGGGCGGACGGTAGGGAGCCGGCTGGTAGGGGCCCCGGTACGTCTGCTTGTCCAGCCTTCTGAAGACGGGTTGGGTCGGGTACACCGGACCCTGATGCAGCCTTGCCGGGGGGGCAAAGTGCACACGCCGATTGTCTCCAAAGCCTGGGGGCCTGGGAGTGTCGGCACGGTGCTGCTTACGCCAGGTGGGGTTGTGGACCATCGGAGGAGGCGCAGGCTTAGGCACCCGGGTAGTGGGCAGGCGGCGTGACGTGTTGGGCGGGCAAGCGAGGTGCTTGTTCCGCTGTTGACGCCACTTGAGGGGAAGGATCTCAGGGATTTCCCTGATGGCCTCGTATACCCCACGCTGCTTGGTGGTGACGTTGCGGTGCTGGAGCTTGGCCTTCCGGGCTGCGAAGAGATGACGCTCAACAGCTTTGGTGCCGTCCAGGGCTACGTGTTCCGCAAACAGGGTATCCGCTCGGGTGACGGCGTGTTGCAGCCGCGTCTGGTCGATGTCGTTGCCTTGGGCCTCTCGGCGCTGTCCTGGGGTCTGCTTACGCTGGCCCCGTTGAGTGTTGGCGCTGATGTTGACCTTCAGGCTGCTGTGAAAGGCTCTGGACGGGCGTCCAGGGCACTGATCTGAGGAGTGAGGGGATGAGTCCGGCCCACAGTGGTTGCACTGGAGCTGGCTGGGATGTTGGGGAGAAGATGGGGGAGTGTTGGATAGGCTGGGGACTGAGCTCCGGCGGCTCTTGGCTGCGGGGCTGAGTGGGGCGTTGACACGTTCCAAGAGTCCAGGGACACGTTTCGCGGTCTCTTCCCAATTGAAATTCTGTACGTGGAAGAATGCTGTTAGTAGCTGCGGACGTCCGATGCACACTGGCAGGGGACATTCACCAAGTAAAATCCTGAGATATCTAAACTAAAAGGGCAGAGCGGGCGCAAGACTCCCCGTTCGCTGTGAAATGGCGCCGTATGACTGCGGCCACCACTGGCTTCCAGAGGTCCTTCTGGACAGTCAGCTGACTAGTTTTAACGCAAGGTCTCCGAGGATTATCCGAGAAGGTTGTCCTGAGAGGCTGAGTTAACAAGATGAAACTGAAATTGTCGTCCCAATCCTGAGCTGGGGTGTTGCACAATGGACACAACACAGTCCCCCACAGCTCAAAAATTGGACCAGTGTGATGTCTGAGGTCCGAATACAGTTGTTCAATTCCACAAAGATCTTCCCACGTCCGATATCGAAATGGCTGTCCGCTGAAGTTTCCTACCAATCCTGTTTCTTGATATATGTCTGGGAGCTGTTGGTCAATTCTCTCCTGGATTGCTACTGAAATTTCCAAATTATCCAATTCCCAAGCACTGCTGTCAGCTCCAGGCCCTCCTGGTGCTGCTAGCGCTGATCCAATCAATGCAAGTTCCCTTTCCTCTCGGACCAACTGAACCGATAGCTGAAATGCAGAAATCCTCTCAACTCCGTCTAATGTCGATTCAAGCAAGCTGCTTCCTACCACGGACTTCCGTTCAAAGCTCATTCAGGCGGCATTGTTCACCCAAGACTTTCTTTCAAGTAGGGTAGCTGGGATGTCCAGCTTGTGAAAAGCAAGGATGAAGTTGTAATGCAATTGAACAAGTTAAGATTGGAAGTGGCGTGCTAACATTCAAGGTAACCCTCGTAACAACCGCACCGGCTCACCTTGAGGCTCTCAACCAAATGGCAGTGGCTCGTAGGAATTCCGTTGGATGTTCAATGGATAAGCTCAAACACTAGCAAACGACAGAAACAGGTGCATGACACTTACTGATTGGATGATGGCGTCGCCGGAGGCGTGAGACATGATGATGAGAAACAAGTGGGTAACGCTTAGGGCTATAAGGCCGGTTAAGTTACTGTCGTGTTCGTACTACTACCGTTGGTGTTGTTCTCCGTGTGATTCTCCTGGTCGATGGTGTTACTATCGCTGCTGGTACTCTGGTACAATGTGTAGTCTTCCTGGTCCGCCGATACTGCTGGCTGGGTGAGTGTACGCGAGCACACTCGTAAGCTGGGTTGAACGCTCAAGGCGCTCGGATGCTGGTTGGACACGGGGTCCAATTACGATGGTTGATAATGACTTGAATGAAAGTCGAATTGGGAATGGTGATCCCAATTGGCTTAAGTACTCGTAGGATCGCCAATTGAGTTTGGATCTCCAATGGCATTAGCGGCGTTGGATGTCCGCATGCATTGAGCACGCTACGTAACCTGGTTACTGTCGGTAACATACCCGGTAACATAACTGGTTATGTACCCCGGGATCGTTGCAGAACGTACTCGGATTGAATCGCATTATCATTGGATGCCCACTGATTTGATTGGTCGTTGGACATCCAATACCGCCTGGTCGTCCAGATCCTATCCTAGTCGGATTCTACGCGGTTATGGTTAAGCTACGCTAACCTAGCTTACGTTAAATTAACTGGTTACAATACGGTAGCGCCACGTGTTGCACGCTGATTGGCTAGCCGAGGCGATCTGGCACCGAGGGCATATGGCATGACAATCATCCACTGTACTGTTCAAAATTGCAAAGCCGCGGTTCATAATTTGCAGTTGAGGCTCGTTGTTATATAGCCAGTGCATCATGTTGAACATGCAACCGACTGCTGGTAAGCGGGTAGAAAGGTAGGCCAGAAGTTCACACGGCGAGCACAAGCAGCGGTGAATGGCTGGGGCCCAAAGGGCGGCAATTGGAGGAAACAGGGCAAACCTCGGCTTGCGTATAAGTGGTGACTTGAGAAGATGAATGCCTCATGCCTAATTCAGACCTTGCGGACTGCACCAAGCATTGCAGGGCGGGCCTTGTACAACCTCGTACGCTCTACAATCAACAGATTGGGCAGCAGCGGGCTGTCCGGGGGAAGATTGAGCACACCCCGAAGATCCGCGAAACGAGTGATCTCCCTCGCAAAGGCGGCTGCAGACCTGTTCCTGGCAGCGGAGGCTATTGCATGGACCTAGACGCACCAAAGAAGCTCTGCACTCAGATCGATGAGTAACCCAAGGATACCAATTCTTACCGCAACCAAACACAACTGTTCTGTAGAATCAATCCAAACTCCTTATGAACCATGTTTAACCTGTCAACACGGCAATCCATTTAGCAAGTGCCTGACCACGAAGATCATAACGTTTATCTCACCAACACTCTCAACCTTAGGTCGTAAGTCGACGACCTTTTAAGCCTGTGCGCGCAGTCAGTTCAATAATATCACTATCTACGCCATATTTATGCAATACAAGTGCGCGCCCTGCTTTCCAAAGTTCCTGTACCTTCAAGATGCCCTCGCCAATCATGGTCGCAAGGCAGACAGGTCGCAAGCGATCAGGTGCCGATCCACTTGCTCAAATCAAGGACCACAAAAACCAAAATGAGAAGAGCAGTAAGGTTAGGGCCAAGCACGTGCAAGAACAATGGCGACCCGCTTGTTGTTTCATCCAGACGAGCATGCCACTCTCCGTTCTGGATGCGTCAGAGAGCTCCGCTTCATGCCCAGGGTCGGTCTCCTGCACAGCAATTGATAGGAAGCAAAAGACGAAGTCAGTGACCCTGCGAACGACGTTAAGCCCGGATGCAATTTCAATAATTCTTGCACAATGATGGTAACCCCGAAAAGGGGTCTTCAGTGAAGAGGTCCGTGAAAAATTCTCCAAGAGCGAATTCCTGCTTGTTACACCTGAGTACTGGTGCATAAGGATTCATGGGTATGCTTGTGGTCACAAGCCCTGCAAGTTTTGAGCATTCACTGACTCAAACCACTCCTTTCGCTGCTTTGACACTTTGGAACCAGGTGCAAGATGGCTGTGGAGAGACTTCCCCCATGTCACTCAACACAAATCGGTGCAGCCAGCCGAGCTAGGAAGGCCTCCTAAGAAAGGGGTCAGCCTTGACCCACTGTATCGAATCGAGGTATGTGCTCCCGGCATGTGCCTGCATTCAGCCTATTAGATGCGAGCATACAGAGTCCGCTTTCTTGCAGGTGGGGCGGACCATCCATTTGCCAATTGTAACAGGCAACCGCAGGTCTGGCGCTTTCTTTCGATCGAGTCCGAAAGAGGTCTTACTACATATTCAGTCTCCCTAGAGTGACGGGCAGCACTCATACTGGACTCCTAGGGAAGGAAGCATCCACAACGGTACTTTTCAGAGTGCAACGGATCCACATCTATGCTTGCTTCTCACAAGCATGGCGCCCCGCTTACCAGCAGGCACTGGTGCAGGCTGGCCGGGGTGTCGCGCACTTCCAGCACCATGTGCTTGTCTGTACTGCTGCCGTCACTAGCCTCCTTTGGCTGAACCTCCGAATCTGTACACATAAGCAGACTGAAGGCTCTGAGAACTGACAGTACAGATTTGCGCACTCCTGCCCTGCCTCCTTGCTTGCCTCGAAAGGCAGTCCCTTGTGTCTTACCCAGCTTCTCTGCATTCCATGCCTAAGTTCCATTGGGAAGACGACAGAACGCTCTACCCACACTCTACCATCACAATCATCTCCACTTTCTGCGCGTCGGCTCAGAACGGTATGGTCAGATCCACCCTGCTTCCCTGAACGGTTGCCTCTGTCCAGCTCTGCGCCAGGTTACAAAGGCCCGCCACATGCTGCTGTGGTGACTAACCTTCTGCCCTCAGCTCCCGCGTGCTCGAAGCGCCCTCCTCCGATGGGCCAGCTCTGTCCCACCGAGATGGCTGGGTTGGAGTCAGGGGAGACCAGCTGCAAAAAGCAAGCTTTGTTTTTGACACTCCAGAATCAGCAAGCCGCTCATCACATGACTCTGCAATGTTGGCCAGTATTGGCTCCCCAAAGAAAGCGCAACGTTTTTTCGTCTGATCTTCCCTCCACCCCCATCCCCCATACAAAAGCATCCACTTTTAAAGAAGGACCTTCCACTTTGTCACCCAAAATACCTATTCTATCGCAAATCGTATCTGGCAATGCTCGCCCGATCATTCCCCGATCATTCGGCCTGCCAACATTTTCAAATAGAACATCCACTGCGCTCCACGCAGAAACAGCCACTCCACTCCAGATTCCATGGTTGTAGGCTGCCATCATTGCCCCCACACAGTGGGCCTGTCGTGCTGCCTACTCACCTTACCTGCCAGCTGGCTGGCTGCTCTGTGCCGGAAGCATGGCCGCCTGACTCCTGGCTCTGTACCTGGAAGGGAAACGACACTGGCGAAATCACCAGGGTGTGCAGCTTCAGTCAAGCACGGCACTTCGTTCCTCTGCTCACAGAAACTTTACACAGGTGTGGTTCCTCCGGAGCTTAGTAAAAGCTCAAAGGAGGGTGTCCGGCACAAAGTACCAGAAGTGCAGTTTGCTATTAGAAAGCGACTTTCCAGGTATCCTCTTCTTCCAACACAATGTTAGTAAGAATGAAGCCCCTCCTCTTACCTTATCCCCATGACCATGTCTCTCCTCCGGTACAGCTCCTTCTCAGTTCTGCATGCGCCAAAGCCACCAGTCAAATCAAAGAAGATGAGCATTGAGCTTGCAGGGCCAAAAAAATGAGGCGGCATTTTGGGAACACTTTAAGTGCAAACTCAGCTCAGAAACAACACAATGCAGGGTAAAAGGGAGTGAAAGCCTTCCGAAGAGCGAGCGGGTCAAAACAGGCCCAAAGCGCCCAGCTGTTGGGCAGGTGTTCATGTAAGGGCCACTGCTCACATTCCATCTGCGTCTTGGCCATTGTTGAGCACCTCCTCCAGCTTGTCCGCGGTGGCAGTGAGCCGCCGGATGCGCTTCCGGGCAGAGTGGATTACGCGGGAGACGTCCTCCCCGGATCGTGTCCGCCCCTCAATCTCCTGGATTCTGCTCGCAACATCATCCGTGAGGCGCATTGCTTCCTCAAAGTCGCGCAACCAGGGGTCAAGCCCCTCCTGGGCTTCCATTGATGCACCCCAAACTCTCAGCTGCAAATTGCCGCCCAAAAGACCATCAGGTCAATGCCTGTCTGCCACCGCAAGAACGTGCTCCAAGCTACGTAGCTATTGAGTACCAGTGTAACTGCGTGATGATACCTTGGAGAAAAGGTTTGGGCTGCGTCATGCGAAGGCAGTTTGCCTAGCTTGACTCTTGCATGCCAACTTGTCTTGCACTGTGCAGAGACTTGCGTCTGGGCAGCATTCGACAGGACCGTCTTGAAGCATGTAAAAGGAAAAAACAAGGTGTTTTTATTGGTATCCAAAAACGATCAAATTAGAGCTTTCCCAATC